GGGGGAGGGAGGGGGATGGGGGACTGGAGGGGCTGAGATGGAGGCCCCTGAAAGATGCTTCCCAAATACACAGGAGACAGGCTCACGAGGACAGGGAGAGATGCACCAAGACAGGCCACATGCCCGGGACAAGGTACAGACCCACGAGGCATGTGTTGGCAAGAGCCAGCCAGAGCCACAGACATGAGCCACAGACACACAGACACGAGCCGCAGACACAGACAGATGCACAATCTGCAGCTGCCTGGCCTCAGCTCTCTGGCACCCCGATGCTGAAGAGGAAGAAAGCCTACCTCCCTTTTTAAAACCACTCACGAAGGGTCCTTCCCCAGAGCGGATGCAATAAGGCTGCACCGGCCACAGCCTCCCTGCCCGGCCCTCACTGGGATCTGTCCCCACTGTAGGTAGAGGCTTTGAAGATGACCCAGCAATCAAGCTCCTGGGCACTGAGCGAGTGTCAGCTGGAGGGGGTGGGTAGGCCCGGGTCGAGAGAGTGAGAGATGAGTGACGATGGTGACACTGTGTCCCCGAGCAGGCACCATACACCCAGAAGCAGGCCACGCCGCTGGATGTGCAGGAGCAGGTGGTGGTCGCTGCCCGCCTGCAGTGGCCACTGCTCTTCTCCAGACTCTTTGAAGTCACCACCCTCTCTGGTAATGGCAAACGACAGGCGAGGGGTGCAGGCGGGGGCCCCCTCCCAGGGCCAGCCCAGCTTTACACCCTGTCTCCTCCTGCCAGGCCCCCGACTGCCCAAAACTCAGCTGATCTTGGCTGTTAACTGGAAGGGGCTGCACTTCCTGGACCAGAGGGAGAGGGTGCTCCTGGAACTCTCCTTCCCAGAGGTCATGAGTCTGATCACCAGCAGGTGGGTACCCCCAAGGGGCTGCCCAAGCCTCTCCTCGGAGCTCAGTCCGTGGGACTTCAGGAGTGACAGAGAGAGGGAGGCACGCTGTTCCTGGGAGCCCAGCAAGGGTGGAGGGGTGAGGACTGGCTTGTGCAGTAATGCCGGTGGTTGGATGTGGGGCCCGCCGCCTGCCATCAGCCGCACTGCCTGGCTGGGTGCTGGGCCTGGGAGTCATGCGCTGCCCTCTCAGCCGCTCTTTAAACCCACCCCCCTGGGAAGGGGCAGGTCATCCTGCAGCCTTGGGGTGTTCATCCCTCCACTCCTTCCTTCCCCCTGGTCATGGGAAGGTACAGACCCTCTGGGGGAGTGAGCAAGGGATGGGGTCTGGGACATGCCAGGTCACAGCAACTCTAGGGTGTCCTTGCAGGCCAGGCCGCCCCCATGGCTCTCCATGGCTCTCACTTCCTGAGGACACACCAAGCCTTGGGGAAGGCAAGCCTGTGCCCTGCAGAGCCCCTCAGTTAGAGCCCCCAGGGTGGCATGGCCATTAACAATGTCACCGGTGGGTGCAGGGCACCCCTGGCCACTGCTTCCTGAGGCTGACCATGTGGCACATTCCCACATGCCATGAAGTCCTCACAGCGTCACCGGGGGTTGGGCCCGTGGCCCCCAACAAGTCATTGTGTTTCCTCATCTGTAACTCAGGAGGGTACTCCCTTGAGGCTGTTGAGGGGCTGAAGTGGGGAGAGCAGAGGAGGCCTCTGGTCACATGGATCCTCTGTCCCCTCAGGGAGGCCCCGGGTGGGCCGAGGCTGTTGCTGTCCACGCTGCACCAAGAGGAGTATGAGTTCGTGTCCCCCAGCAGTGTGGCCATTGCCGAGCTGGTGGCCGTGTTCCTGGAGGGCCTGAAGGAGAGGTCCGTGTTTGCCATGGCCCTGCAGGACCAGAAGGCCACAGGTGTGTGCCCAGATGGGGTGGGGGTGTGGTTGGTGGGAGGGCAGCTTGCTCCCATGCATGTCACAGCAGCCATATGGCACGGAGCAGGGCTCAGGGACTTGAGCAGAGAGATGGAGAGGGGACCACGAAACCCTGAGGGACAGATCTGGGTGGAGCCCTCCCTTCCACAGCATGAGGAGTTAAAGGAGGTGATCTCCAGCCCTCCAAGGCACCTAGCTGAGGACTGCACCTCCCCTGCAGAGAACAGCTGGCCATGGCCTGCACTTGGGGCACCACCCCACAGCCATCCTGTAATCCCATTTCACAGATAGGGAGCCAGAGGCTCAGAAAGGGAGAGCAGCTTGTCCAGGATCACACAGCTCAGGGGATGAGGGGTTCGGATGCTGCAGTCCTGGAAAATGGGTGGGGCTGTTGATGCAGGGAAGGGAGAGGGAGGCTCACAGGATGTGGAGGGAAGAACCGTCAGCCCTGAAACCTTGTCCCCGTCACCCAGTCTGCCCCCACCACCACACCACGGAAGAGGGACTTTACAGATGAGGGTCACATGTCACCCAGGCTGGCATGGTCACTGCCAGCCTGGGCATTCTTCCCCTTGTCCGCACGTCTCTTGCTTCACAGGCCACGGCTCCTGATCAGGCCTCTGAGCAGGTCTCCAAAGGTAGAGCCGTGGTCAGAGCTCCTGCCCCTGCCCCCCGGGCTCCGCACCTGTCCAGGTCCTTGAGGGCCCACGTGCTGGGAATCCTGCCACTGCTCCCTTCAGAGTGGACTTGGGCCCCCCAGCTCTGTGTCTCAGCTTCCTCACCTCTCAACAAAGACAGCCACAAGGTGCCGGCAGGCACCTCTGCAGGGCCAGTGGTGAGTGTGGCCTTCCTGCCTGTGTGTGCACTGAAATTGCAGATGATGGCACCCTCCTGCCCTTCAAGAAGGGGGATTTGCTGATCCTGACAAAGAAGCAGGGGCCCCTAGCCTCTGAGAACTGGGTCCCTGGCCAGAACGACAGGACAGGCAAGACTGGGCTGGTGCTCACCGCCGGCCTCTACACCATCCCTACCATTGGCAAGCCCTCGGCACAGCTGCTGGTAACCTCTAATGTGGGCACGTGGGGAAGTAGCCAGGAGGCCTAGCCTGGGGTCCTAGCTCAGAGTCCTGCGTCCCACCTCACAGAGAGCCACGAGGCCCACCTGGACATCGGGTCAGCTCCGCCAGCCCATCACCCCTCTGGGGTGACCGTGGAGCTGGCAGTATCTGTGCCACGTTCAGGACAGTGCTTGGTACTTAATGGGAGGCTCAATGAATAGGTATCGCTTCCATCTCTCCCACCATGGATGTGTCCTAGGGACAAACCCATCCCTTCCCCAGGCTCAGCCTCATTGAAACCATGGCCCAAGGGGTCCCAAGTGTCCCTACCCTTGAGAGCTACTCCACCCCAGTCCCTAGGCAGGACAGATAGACATTCTGACGTGCACATACTGAGTGCCAGCTGTCTGCCCCATGCCTGCAATACAAGATTGAACACAACAGGGACCCTGCCCTAAGGAGCATTTGGGCAAATGATTACTCGATGGCGAGTATAACGGGCCACCAAGGAGCAGCACTGGTTCTTATGAAAGAAATAATAGGCTGGCCTTACCCTGTCTGGAAGATGTCACTGATGGAGTGACATTTGTGCTTTGGCCTGAAGGAGGTGAGGGCCAGGCAGCAGGACCAGGTGAGAGATGCCCCTGAAGAGAGGTGCCCTGGGGAAGGAGAGCCTGGTGGGCCTGAGAAGTCCTCTTAAGAGAAAGGAGAGAGGCTCAGGGAGGTGAAGTTACTGGTCCTGGGTCACACAACAGGTGACACGAGAGGGGCAGGCCCAGGCTTATTCTGCTCTGTGGTCCTGCCCCTCCTGTCACTGAGACAAGCAAGTCAGGAGGAGTCTATGGGAAGGGCCTTGTGGGCAGTGGCTCCTGGGCACCCACAGGCCTATGCCCCCACAGAGCTTGCTGGCTATGTCACCAGAAAAGCGGAAGCTGGCAGCCCAGGCAGGACCGCCCACAGAAGCCCTATCTGAGGAGCAGGCCAAGGAGAAGCTGCACACCCTGGAGGAATTCTCCTACGAGTTTTTTAGGTGCCTGCCCCCACCACACACACACACACACACACACACACACACACACACACACCCCCGCACCAGGCCCAGCCCCAGCCTGTCAGCCCCTCTGCACTCCCTAAGGAGTGAGGGGAGGCCACAGAGGCAGGCATGTTGTCCACCTGGTCTCCCAGGCAGGGAGGCAACCCTCTGAGCCTCCCACAACCACCCTGGTGGCTGGAGGGAGTGATTCTGAGCTGAATGCTGTGGGCAAGATGGCATCCCCATGGGACTCACTTCAGACCAGGCCTCCTCCCCACTGTGCCACACAGAGGCAGGTTGGGAGGGGACAGAGGAGCAGCAGGGCAGAGAAGGCAGGAGGAGGGCCCTCACATCAGTCTGTGTCCCGACAGGGTCCCGGAGAAGGAGACCGTCAGCAGAGCCATGCTCCACCTCACCCGGGCTCGGGGCCACCTGTGGGCTCACAGCCCTGAGCCCCTGCGGCAGCCGCTGCTCAAGCGCGTCCATGCCAACACTGAGCTGCGGGATGCCGCCTGTCAGATCTTCATCGATATCCTTCCCCAGCCAGCCTGCCCCAGCTCAGCCTGATGGGGGCGGGTCTCCCAGGGCGCAGGGCAGAGGCAGCAAGGAGGCGGCATGGAGCTGTTGGGGGTCATGCGGGGCGGGGCCCGGGTCAGTGGTGACAGGCAGCCGTGCCAGCCTATTCTCCCTGACAGCCACACCCATCCTCAGGTACATGGGCGACTACCCCTCTAGGCAGGCCTGGACTTCCTTGGAACTCACCGATCAGATCTTCTCATGGGCCCTCCAGGACGTGGCTCTGCAGGACGAGGTCTACTGTCAGATCCTGAAGCAGCTGACACACAATACCAAGAGGTCTGGGGATGGTGTGGAAGTGGAGGGCGCCCATGTACAGGATGCCATGCCGGGGCTCCTCAGTGTCCTCACCCCTCTCCCAGAGGCTGTGCCCACTGTTCAGACGGGGAGGTGGCAGCTCATGGAGGCCACACAACCTGCCCAGGCACTAGCAGTAACCAAGAAATGGGCTGGCACTTGGGCTTGTCCCCCTGACTTCCTGGGGTAGTCAGAGGAAGGAGGGCAAATGGGCCTGCCTTGGGCCTTGCCTGCTGCCACCCTTGGCCTCAATAAACCTCAACATGCTCTTCCACAAAATGGGCATAATACCCATTTCCCCACTCATGCGTGTGAAGGCCTGCTTGGCATTGGGTAGCTGGGCCGTGGGCCTCTTTGCCCATGGCCGAGCAGGCCTCATGTCCCATCTCCCCAAGGTGCCTGGCTGGCCCGGTCTCTGGGATGGGTTCTTCCTGTGCTGATGGGCTCTGTCACCCCCAGGTACAGTGAGGAGCGAGGCTGGCAGCTGCTGTGGCTCTGCACTGGGCTCTTCCCTCCTGGCCAAGCGCTGCTGCCCCATGTCCAGAAGTTCATATACACAAGGAGGAACAAGCTCCTGGCCCCTGACTGCGGGCGCCACGTCCAGAGGGCCCTGAGGTGAGCCTGCCAGCTCCCATGCCCACCCCTGGAGCGTCAGCCTGGGGTAATGAGGGGCCCTGCTGGAGTTGGCTTGCAGAGGCAGGACCAGACCCCAAGCCACTGAGGAGGAAGGTGGAGCGTGAGGGTCTCAGAAGGGTCTGGGGTCAGTGGAAGCTTAGGGCAGGCTCAGTCCTAGCTGCGAGCTCCCCACCCCCACAGCTGCCTGTCCAGGGCACAGAGGGAACTGCCTGGAGGCCACAGGGCGACCTGGATATCCCAAGGCACTTATCTTCCCGCCTCGATCAAGGGCCACCCCTGCCAGTCCATGTGCCATCCCCACCTCAGCCCTCTTACAGCTAGGCAGCTTTCCCTCGGCTCTGTCTTGGATCTCAGAGCCTGTCCCCTGGCTTGGACTTTTGTAGCTGTGAGGGAGGGTGGGCTGGCCATGCGAGCAGCGTGATAGTGGCAGCCCTGGTCGTGGAGGGGAGATGGGTGCCCTCAGAGAGGCTCTCAAAGGCCCTGCTGGAGGTCCTGCCCTGGCCCCTCCCTGTGCGCCTGCTGTTTGAGGAAAAGGAAACACCAGCCTGTCTGCTGGAGGCCCTGGCCAGCCAGGTCCCCTTCCCATGTTGGTCCCAGGCCTTCCCCCCTCCTCAGAACCTTGGGTCACCAGGAAGGTGAGTCTGAGCTGCCCTCTGCTGCCTTCTCTAGGTCACGTGCTGTGCACCCCAGGCAGGGGCAGCCCCCTGGCAGCCCTGCCCCCTGCGCCAGCAGTGGTCACTGGGGTTTTGTGTCTGGCATATAGTTGATGTAGTTAGTTGGTGGCTGGGGATGGGTGAGGATGGGGGCAGGGCGGCCTGTGCAGCATGCACTGTCCTGCTCTAGGGTGGGGCCCCGGAAGCAGCCCCCCCACCAGGTGGAGGTGGAGGCCGCAGAGCAGAACGTCTCCCGCATCTGCCACAAGATCCTGCTCCCCAACGACACCAGTGAGGTATGCCCCTGCCCAGACCCGGCCTCCCCGCTCCTGACCCGCAGCATCCTTGGTTACCTGAGGAGTGGTGACCCCTGAGAAACTGTCTGCCCCCCCATCACTAGTGCCCTACAACCCTGAACTGAGTGTTGTGCACCCTTGGGTGCTCTAGGCCAGTACAGGGAGGGGCCACCCTGGGGAGGCTGCTACTGCAGTGTGAAGTCTGGATTGTCCCAGTAGGGCAGAGGGGTGCTCCAGGCCGAAGCAGGGGACAGGGAGACCAGGGACATTGGTGTGCCTGTGGAAAGAGCCCCTCTTGGGAGCTGGAGACAGCAGAGGGGACAGGTGTGAGGTGGGAAAGCGTCCCTGGCCAAGTGGCAGCAGCAGAGAGGGCCAGAGGAGGCCTAGGGGCAATGCACCTTCCAGTCTTGAGGCTGGGGCGTCCGCACGGGAAGTTCCCGGAGTCTGGCTACTGGCTCTCAAAGCAGGTTCAAAGGCTGGGAGTCTGCGGCCCACAAGGTAGCAGCTGTGTGACTAAACAACAGAGCATCTGGCCCGTTTTCTAGAAGCAGTTCCTGCCCCTCTCAGGACAGGGTGTGTCCAGCCCCTCTTAGGAAGGAGCAGCAGCAGCAGGGTCAGAGGGGTCATCTGAGCTGAGCCTTGTCTTGAGAGGCTCCTGTGCCGCCTCTCTGCCCAGATGCTGGAGGTGGGCGCCCACACCAGGGTGCGGGATGTGTGCAGCAGCATCGCTGCCAGGCTGAAGCTGGCCTCCTGGGAAGGCTGCAGCCTCTTCATCAAGATTGCGGACAAGGTACGGCTGGCAGGCAGGCCAGAAACCTGGGGGAGTGGGCAGGGGTGGCCGTCCCACCGTGCTGGCCTGACCCTCAGTGAGTGCTGAGGGGCTGTCAGGACAATCTAGTTCACCAGGCCTGCCGCCCTCAGGAGGAGTTCCCAGGAAGCCCCTTCACCCGCGCTCCTCCCTTTGTCTCTCTCCCCACCCATCCCAGGTCATCAGCCAGAAGGAGGAAGACTTCTTCTTTGACTCCTTGCGGCAGGTGTCTGACTGGGTGAAGAAAAGCAAGCCTCAGAAAGAAGGTGGGTGTCTGCAGGGCAGGGCGGGGGTTCTGGGATGGAGGAGCTAGGCAGGGACTGTCTACCTACTTGGGCCAGGGTCAGAAGGCTCCCCTGGCATCTCCTGCATGGCCCATGCTCATTCATTTACCCCGTTAGAACCCTCATGTCATGGGTATGACCAGGCCTGGGCCAGGCATGAGGACCCTGCCCTAGGAGCTCTCCCAGCTTGGGCAGGGGCAAGGTATAGGGGTGGGCCTAGAACAGATGAAAGATGCACAGGCTGTGGGGTTGGACGGGGGCCTGGCCCACACAGGGGTGTCCAGGAACATTCTTGGCATGGGTGGCTTCTACAGTGTCTTGAAGGGTGAGGACCCGCCAGGGCCAGGGAGGAGGAAGGGTGGGGTCTTCCCAGCAGAGGAGCAGACTCGGTGACGGGAGGGTGTCTAGGAGACTGTGCTGCGGGCAGGGTGCAGGGAAGCTGGCAGCAGGGCCCTGGGCAATGGGAAGGGTATGGGCATGGCCGCAGAGCCTGGCAAGCCGGGGGCAGGCCAGGCTGCATGCTCACTGCTGCCCCTGCCCAGGGGCCCCTGTGACACTGCCTTACCAGGTGTACTTCATGCGCAAACTGTGGCTCAGTGTGGCCCCAGGGAAGGACCTGAACGCAGACACCATACTCCATTACCACCAGGTACTTGGGAAGGCTCCCTCCAGGGGGCTTTGGGTCCAACTGCACTTCATCCCACACCTACTCAGAGAGGTGGAGGAGGAAGGCCCATGATGGTTCCCTTGCCCCAGGGGGCCTAACCTCCACTGGGAGGTCCAGGAACATCCAGAAGATTCACCAGGGGCTTCTGGAGCCCTTGAGGCCCACTGTGGTCACCAGACCTACCCCTTGAGGGTTCTGGAGCCAGGAGCAGAGGGAGAGCAGCATTTGGGGACAGTGACTGTGCCAGCACCTGCAGCACAACCCCCAGGTGGCAGGGGGAGAGGCCCTGCAGCCTGGGGAGCACTAGCCCTTGTCCTGGAGGGTCAGCTACACAGGGTGCAGTTGGCTACTACAGTCACGTCGAGATGTTAGGGGTCTCTGCCCAACTTACGGGGGCTGTTGCCCCTGCAGGAAACCCTACCCTAAGGACCTTAGCTTCTTGCTGGCTCCTAGGTGGGGGTGGGCTTCCACCCCACCACCTGCCACATGAGGTGGGGGGCAACAGCCTAATGCCCAGTGTGTCCATCACCCAGGAACTGCCCAAATACCTGCGTGGGTTCCACAAGTGTTCACGGGAGGATGCTGTCCACCTGGCAGGCCTCATCTACAAGGCCCAGTTTGACAGTGGCCAGTCCCAGCTAGCAAGCATCCCCAAGATCCTGAGGGAGCTCGTGCCCGAGAATCTCACACGCCTGATGTCCTCGGAGGAATGGAGAAAGGTCCCTGACGGGGCTGGGAGGGACCCTCAGATTGCCTGGCCTGGGCAGGCTGAGCATGTTCCTGGTGTGGAGGATGGGCCGGGGGTGTCTGTCAGGCCTCCCCATGCTGTCCACGGCGCCTCAGAGACGCATCCTCACCCCAGGGGTGGGGGACGCACTTGGTCCTAAGTGACCCCCAAGCCGGCCTCCAGCACACAGGTGCTGCTCTGGCCTGAGGCCCGCCTGTGGGCCCCGTGTGGAGGCCAGGATGGGCACTGGCTCCCACCGGGCTTCACTGGCCCTCATCGCCCACAGAGCATCCTGCTGGCCTACGACAAGCATAAGGACAAGACGGTGGAGGAAGCCAAAGTGGCCTTCCTGAAGTGGATCTGTCGGTGGCCCACCTTTGGGTCCGCCTTCTTCGAGGTGAAGGTAAGTCTCACCCCATGCCCACCTGTGCTTGCCCCAGAAGGCCCCACCCTAGCTTTGGCCCCACTGCCTGAGCTCCCCCAAACACACATCTTAGGCAAGGCTGATTGCCAGGTTTGAGGGGCATGTGGGCACGTGTGTGCCTGCATGTGCCTCAGGGAGGTGGCCAGCTGGCCTCCCAGGCTGGGCTGTCACCGCCATGCTCCTCCCCAGCAAACCTCAGAGCCCTCCTACCCAGACATCGTCCTCATCGCCATCAACCGGCACGGAGTTCTGCTCATCCACCCCAAGACCAAGGTAGGAGCAGGGCCCCACAGGGCAGGGGAGGCTGCCAGGGTCCTGAGACACTGTCCCCCCCCCCCCCC